GTCGTACATATTTTTTTTAATTACTTTGTGACTATTAATTTGCAGCGAAGCATTGTCTGTCATTACGTATGGTCCAGATGAAGATAGACCGATATTTGCCAACAATGGTTGCAAGCGACTAACGAGACAGATTCCTTACATCATTGCAAAGAACAAAGTAAACACTGAACTTTAGAAGTAAATGTTAATTTTAAGTTAACGCTGTGATATTTTCAGCTGATAGATTGTTGAGTTGCTCGTTTTAAATATTTATTTCGCATTTTCTTTTGTACAAAACTAAAGTTTTTATTTGATAAGGTATATTGCCACAATTTTGATTCGTAGTTAGCAGTTTGATAAAATATCCCTACTCAGTGTTCTTTATGTCATGCCACAAGTTTACAGTATTTTCTCTTTACACACTAATCATTATTCCATCTTAGCCCTTGTAACCAATATTTTTGTAATATGGAGTAATTTAGAAAAGAAGAACGGCAAATGTCGGAGGTGTAAATCGAATAACAGTAAAAAGAAACTGAAAACCAGTTGGTACATTCTTGTTGTACTATAATTATGTTAAACAGAATCAAACAGCTTTTAAGGTGTGATTTGTGTATGTGTCTGTATATACGCATTTTGTTTATTTGTAAATAGCGCAAAACTGTTTTACGCGCTTAATTCTTTATTTTATAACTATTTTTTAGTTTTAATAGAAACGGTAAATCTTTTTGCCAATGTGCCGGATAACCACCTTCATAGTCAAAGAGAACAGCCATTCCTAAGACATTTATTCCTCTCAGATGTACATTGAAGTGCTATAGTAATGGTTTAAGTGTAACTAAAGGTAGCCTTACTAAACTTATATGTAAATAATGTTTAACTTTAGTACATAATATTTAATATTCGAAATTAATTGTGGTGTTTACTCTCTATTTTTACAAGAAATTATTTTGTCTCACTAAAAGTGAGTTGAAATAAAAACAATCCAACAGAAATATGGTATTTTAATCAGTGAGTAATCCTTTTGCCATAATTTGAAAAGTTTACAGGGTTTACAATTATCTGGCAAAAAAATCATTATACCACTTCCAGTCTTATGTACCGCATGTACGTACCAATATCTTGTCAATAAAAACGGCTTTCATATCGGTGGTCTGTAGTGCAACTGTCTCGATTTGATAAAGAACTTCAGGAGGAGGAATTCTACAGTTGAATAAGTAAAATTCGTAGTTAATATGAGCGATCTCATCGTCAGCGGCTGAGATATAGCGTCGCATCGAGTAATATAGTGTTACTGTCAGAACGTGTACCTATTAGGCAATGGAAGCTCTAGAGCTCCTTTAATTTCTGCTTAGATGACGACAGGCATTCCAGTTACTCAGTCGCATATGAATGTGTAGTGTAATGTTATTGAATGTTAATTCTTATTCTCATTTTGATCCAGATTCTAGATTAGATTAGTTTTTTAGTACAGATACAAGTGAATAACAAGCAAAAAGAGGTATTATATTGCCATCGAGATGATGCTAGCAATTGATGTGTGACCTACTCAAAGTTCGTGACTTGTAAAATTCTTTACCTACTTTAATGTTCTCGATAAAAAAAGTGATGAAAACTTATTTCTTTCATATTTTGGGACACTATAAATAAGTTGTGTTCCATACATTTTAAACAATTTAGTATAATTTATTAGTTTGATTAAATTAAATACGATTGAAAGATTCATTTATATTAGTGAAACTTCAACGACTGCTTCACACCATGCCCGGTCGAGGGCGCAGCTGTCATCTCCTATCACTGCTCTTATATAAACATTAGGGAAAACACTGATGACTGAAAATGACGATGATTAAAATAACATAGACAGTTAATATTGATATTCATTTAAAAAATTATATACTACTTTCTAAACAGGTTACATGATTTTCTTCACAATGGCTTAAAATGTAGACCAAGGTATATTATCGACGAATACAGAATGCAAGCAACTAACATACTTAAACAAAAATAAAGCATCATCACAAATGCAAGCATTAGGTAACTAATTTAACCTATTTCTTGTACCTATAACTTTTTTATTACATATACATATTTACTATGCCAATACAAAGAACTGAAAGATAAAAGGAACTGGTTCTTGTTGAGGGTCAACAGGAACCTTTGTTACGTCTAAAGATGTTGGTTCCATGAGTATTAGGGGAGTGATACTAAACAAATATCCTGCATTTAAAAAACTATGAGCCATAACTTGATAAATGAAAAAGGGTAAATCAATACTTTTATATAATTCTTGACTATTGACATTTTTCCATTCTTGAGAAAATTAAGCACTAACGCTGATCGTCTGGACATATACTAAACTTCTGGCTGTTAAATTTATGGTCAGAGCAGCTTAAGAGAGTTCAAGTGATGTAAACTGTACCTAACTGTGTAGTACCAGTTATAACTGGTACTGGTAAGGTGACATTGGCACTGGTGGTGATTGGACTAATGGCAGTTGTTATTGGAAACAGAAAGTAAAAGGCATTAAGTCCGCCATTGTACAAGTGAGTTGTAATGTATGCATAAAGAATAAAATATATAAATGACACTTGTTGTAAGGCAGCATTCAGATTAGATTAAATAAATATGATAAAATCTATATTATAACTATGTATATAATAAATATGTACAGTAATTAATGCGTTCACGTATCCATCAGGTTGCACTAGTCTTTACATGATTGCGTTAATTCCCATATACATCTATAATTATATATCATGGAGAGCGAGTTTTACTAAGATGACTTAAGCAATCAAGTAATTGCAATAACTACAAATAGTAACAAAATATTGTGCTTGATTATGTGTTGAGAGTTGCTACTAACAACTAAAAATCACTTGGAGGCCTAATTGTCGTACATTGTCGCTATATTTCTGTATATGTAAACTGTATCAGGCATATATCTTTAGAATACACATAAATGAAGGAAGTTGTCTGGATAGCTTAAATGTTCAGAAAGCCATTGTAGTGGGGTATCATGAGGAATCACCACTCCATGTGTTCTCAATTTTACTGAAAAAAAAAAGTATTTCGCATTAGTAAACTAGTTTTTCTGCCAAGTGATTGATTATTACCAGTAATATAACAGTTGGCCTTTTTTTTATTCATGGAAAAATCTGCATGATTATGAAATAATGTTTGTATCTAAATATTAGAGATAACCTTAGGTATTGTGCTTTTATTCAGTTTATGTGCATTAACCTTTGATATGCTGCTACACTGTACAGTGCTTACCGGTGAAACCACTTTACAGTGTAGTGACATATCAGAGAGGTGGCATGAGTTAAGTCCTGGTTAAGTTTAACTCCATATCTGGTAAAAAAATATATTTAAATGTGAACTTTAAGTAATATGGTATAAGAGTGAACTTATAAACAGATAAATCTTGTGTATAATTTAGTTATTATAATTTATTACTTTGTAAAGAACAAACAAATTATATATCTCAATAAAATATCATCACATCAACATTTAATAGTCTACTGCTGGACATAGGCCTCTCCTTAGAAAGGAGGTTTTGGCCTCCTATACTACGCTTGGCCAGACAGGTTGGTATAGGGTTTATGTCAAGTTTTCCTTGTATTTGTAGTGCTGTTGTATTGTATTGTATAATTTGTTCCCTTAGTTGGCTCTTACGACACCCATGGGATGATAGGGGTGGTGTCACTCCATATTATTTATCGGTTACCACATAAATTAATAAACACACCATTATTTTTATCTGGATAGAGTTCTGTAATCATTTGCTGCAAAGTTTTCCTACTACCATCAGTGTTCTTGGGACTGACTAGACGTTGATTACATACGCCGTCATCAGAATATATCTTTATAGGAATGTGTTTGAATCCTTCACTGTCTCCGTGTGATTCCATTAATCTCCTGTTGATAGCCCAAAATTGATCAAACTTATCTGAAAATCGTAATTTAAATAATTGTTAAATAACATACTTCTTTAATTAATTCAATGAATTTTATTGTTGTGTCCTTACTTGTAAAAAGTACTAATTGCACTTATCTAAATAAAAAGAAGACATTCATTGCTACAGAATCATACATACAGCTCTAAATTTTAAATAATTGAAAGTAATGTTCTCAACAATTTTGCATCAGGTAACTAATTTTGTTTTTGGCAATATAACCTGTAAGTTTTACCATTTTGTAAGCCCAGCCATAACTGATTATGATCCTTCTTCTGCATGGTGGACATAACTTGCCCTCTGTGTTTTAGAACATCAGCTTCTTTTATAGTTGACATAAAATGAGCTTCTACAACATCCCTAAAAATAAGTCATGATTTTAACTTAATGAAATTTTATACTGACAAAGTTTACTAACTATTATTTTAAAGAAACAGAAATAGTTTTTGATTCTAAAACAAATGTAAGGTAGGTATAGTTAATTTTGATTGTGAGATTCACAGTCTGTTTCAAATAATATGCCTCCAACAAAACTAATAAACAATTGACAATTAAATACAGACATTTTTTAAGATCGCATGAATTAGATGCAAAGTTACTGGACTAGAAGCAGTTAAAGCTAATAGCCCATTTTTTAAACCAGGAAAGATTGCAAAATATCCAATCTAAATTTATTGTTCATTCTATGTTAGCAACTGAATTGACTTTTATAACTTTTTGGAAACATTAGAGATTGTTGAAATGTCTTTAGAATAGTGATATATACTGTTACTTGTTAGGACAACGAAGCAGGATTTCTTCTGGGAATTTCATAAAATGCACAGTTAAATTCCAAGGTAGTTGAGGATCATGGCCACAATATAAGTCGTAAAGAAATCCTATAGGGTAATGCCATTTTAGGGGTTGTCCATTATAATCTAACCACATCTCATTGTCAGCGTTTTCTTGAGATATATAGCGTAAAAAATGTCTTTTCATCTGTAATAACACACCAGAGATTATTAAAGCAATTAAAGCAAAGTCCAAGGCACGGTATGGTTAATAAAACAAATGGCTTTTTGCATACCTTATCCGTCACGAGAGGGAAATAACTTAGTCGTGGAACCATCACATAAAATGGATCAGGTTGTTGTATTTCCATAATCTCTTCTTGAGCCAATTGAAAACAAATAGGCAGTTTTCCGTCCCATATTTCTCGCAATACTTCTCTATCATTGGCCATGTAGAAAGAACTACAGTGAGTGATGAGATACAAATTTAAAATAAAAATATTCTTGCAGATCTTTCGATCTGATATGTTTCAAGAATATTTACGAATTACTTTTGTATTAAACGTTTCGTTTTTATTGCACGTAGTTATTAAGGTATTATGATACTGAACTATAAATCCTTAAACTATTATTAATACCGTTTAAATATACTTTGACGTTTATGACTCGGACATCAAAATGGTAATTGAGTTGAGTTACACCAACTAATATCGCTATTCTGATATTGGTTAGTAGTATTTACGATATTAGTATTCTGTTAACCAATTATTTTGGTCTAAAAGTGATATGTGAAAGTTTTATATAAATATACCGCGATCTCTTAGTACGTTATTATAAGTACAGAGAGTAGTTTCCTAATCTTATTTTAAGCTAATCTTAAGAACATTTTTTTTAACGGACTCGAACCGACCAAAATCGCACGTCGTCTCGGGTACTAGTAGTCGAGAAACCAGGTGTACCCTAGAAAGGAAATCCCAGGAACCATGACGTACCTTGGGCCATCCCTGATGACCCCCTGTGTGATGTTGACTCAGAACTCACGATCTTCTTTGATTTGGATTCCCCATGATTTGGGAACAAAAGACCCCGAGTAACGGCACCGTGACCCACGTTCACCTAGAGGATTCGGATATGTGGATCCTGCTTGCAGGAGTAGTGCTTGCGCCTTCACGAAACCTCCAACCAGTATGTATGGCTATGTACCTCGGTGACCTTTTGGGCCGCTGCGATGGGGAAACTGACAATCGCTGCCCCCTGTCACGTAGCCACGTAGTCCAAGAAGCAGCCCCCGCCTCTTCCACGGCGAGCCTAAGCTCGTCCGCCGTGACTGAGTCGTCCAGGCCTGTGATGCGTACTACTGCGCATTTAGTGGGCCTGGACTACACTCGGACGTCAGTTGCATCTAGTTGACTCCCTCTCCCTCAGCTTAGCCGCTAGGGCGTCGAAAGAAACCGGGCTCCCATCTATGTGCTTTTACACCAGACGCCCGGTATCTCGAGGGCTTTGAGGTCGACGTTGGCCTTGACTTAAGCCAAGACCTCGGCGTACCTCGGCGGCCTCGCAACTTTTTGGACGCTTTTTTGGTGGCTTTCCGCTTCTTCTTTTGTTCCTCGACTACTTTACAGTCCCTTTCCAAAGGGCGCTGTGCGGAGTCAGCCGGGGCTATATCTGAGGCTGGGGTCGGGGTTATAACGTATCTTCCCCCCTTAGGGGTCACAAGGGCAGGATACCCTGCTATACCTGTCAGGATAGTTGCGGATTAAAAAAAAAGTCGACTGTGGTGTCCCACTACCTAATATTTATTTCCATTATCTAATACATAAACCATATCTAATACACTATGTAGCTTGAGAATACAACAAAAAAAAAACCTAGGGTCCGTACGACCTCTCTGAACAATAAACAATAAAAAATTAAATGAGAAATTGGTGTCAAGAGTTAAAGTATTATAATTAGTCACTTAAATCTCTATTTACTATGCTTAAGACGGTAAGTGGTGGAGCTTGGTCGAATCAAATGTAGTACCTTAGTATCACTTATATTAAAACATAAAAGAAAATGGAACTTCGGATACCGGGTGGCCACAGCTTAGAGGAGCTGATGAACACTGGTATTAGGTGATCCGGTACCTTCAGTGTCGTTTACCCGGCGGGGCTGACCATAGGTGAGGCACCGCCTCAGCGTTTCCTGAGTAAGGGCCCTGGTTTCCAGGCGTCCTCAGCCGGAAGCAATTTGTAGAGGGTAATGTTGGTAGATGCTAGGAGTCCTCGGAGCACCAGAGGTAGCAGCAGCCAGTACAAATAGGTAGGTAATTAGGTTTAAATAGTAAGGGGTATGCGGTATGTATGTAGTAAGGGTATGCGGTAGGTATGTAGTAACGGTATGCGGTATGTAGGTAGTAAGGGTATGCGATAGGCATGTAGTAAGGGTATGCGGGAGCACTGCATAAGAAGAAGTAAAAACAAAAAACCCTTTCGGGTTTTCCTGGTAATACTTGATATCTAAGGCGGGTGACGCCTCAGCATCCGAGCCGATGCATTTCTGGAGGTCCCGATGATCTGGGGTCCTCCCCAGATCATCGGGACTAAACGTCCACGGTATCCACTCTTCGAAACAGAAAAGAAAGCTTCCTCGCCGTCTTCGCGCCGGCATTTCAAGACTAGCCGGCAAGAGTTCATCTGACAAGCAGCGTCCACACTATGCCGGGCGAGGCCGAGCGGGCTGACCCGGGCGGCCTAAGCCGGGTTGGTGTGGACGCCCCGGGCGGCTTAAAAAGCCGGCCCGAGCCGAGCCGATCCCAACCCGCAGAAAGTAGGTACAGATCAAAGGATGCCGGCCCGAGCCGAACGAAAATATGTAGTGGGGACGTGCCGAGCCGCACCGGGCGGCTTTAGTTGTCCAGTCTTGGTGTCGAATTGAAACTAATAGGTAGATATAACCCGGGCGGCCTCGTTTTCGGTGTGGACGTCGTGCCGGCCCGAACGAACCCGCCCGGCTTAGGCCGCCCGGGTCAGCCCGCCCGGCCTCGCCCGGCATACTCCGGCATAGTGTGGACGCTGCTACATATCTCATAGGGTTGGAAGGAACGGTGTAATCAGTTGATTGAATCGATTATTGACATCGACTAATTGATTTACCCGTATTTATACACGAAATCGCATTCGATAAAATATAATAAATAAAATGAAATCGTCCTTTTAGAAATACGACGTTACAGGTTCACCTTCCCGTTCTCCTGGGTGACATTTCGAGGTGCTGTAGACGCTGTCTGCCTTAGCAGCGGCCAAATATGTTACCCGCCAGAGGCGGACGACAATGAGCACTCCCTATTGCAGAGATGCGCCTCATCAGTCGCGCTCAAGCACCTGACACTGGAGCACTTTTCTCATTAATTCGTAAAGTATAACATCGTAGTGCATTCCTCGCTAACATCTTTACATCAATGTTTAATAATAACAAATTGTATGAGTATAATTGTAGGAAAATAAATGGAGGATTTCATTTTATTTTAATTTGCTCACAATTAATGTAAGTGTAAGCTCAAGGAATGTAATTATATACGTAAGGTATTGTGATGCAAGAGGATGCATGGGGATTTTGTAAAAGAATGCATAGAAATTGCCGCTAAGAAAATGTGCCCAGAAACAGCAAAAAAAATTGAGACAATTCAACTGAATCGTATGACTATCCAAAGACGAATTATGTCTTTGTCAGGTAATATTGCGAAACAATTAAATGAAAAAACTAAGATCATTGAATTTTTTTCATTAGCACTCGACGAATCCACTGATATTAGATCCACAGCTCAACTTCTCATATTCATACGAGGTGTTACTCAAGATTTTGAAGTCTTAGAAGAGTTATTAGGAATGTGTTCATTGAAAGGTCAAACCAGAGGAATTGATATACTCAATGTACTTTTGGATGAGTGTTCAAAAACTAATTTGGACTTATCAGAATTATCGGGAGTTGCGACTGACGGTGCTCCTTCGATGATTGGTGTCAATTCTGGGCTAGTTACTTTGCTGAAAAAGCATCTGCAAGAAAAAACATAAACGCTGAAGATCTCATGCAGTTTCACTGCATTATACACCAAGAAGCCCTCTGTTCTAAAAGAATTGAATTTCAAAATGTCATGAAAGTGGTAGTTTCGACTGTAAATTTCATAAAATCACGAGGACTCAATCACAGGCAATTCAAACAATTCCTTGATGACATCGAAAGCGAATATGGAGATTTACTGTATTATACAGAAGCAAGGTGGCTAAGTCGTGGATTGACACTGGAATGATATCTAAATTTAATAGAAGAAATTGGAATATTTCTGGCGGAAAAGCAAAGGGATGTCCCGGAACTTAAAAATCCTGATTGGTTGTGTGATTTGGCTTTTTTAGTTGACATTACAAATCATTTCAATGTCTTGAACACACGGCTTCAAGGCAAAAATCAACTGATATCCCAGCTCTACGCTCATGTATCATCCTTTCAATGCAAGCTGACACTTTTCAGATCGCAATTGAATTCTAGAAATTACAATCATTTTCCGAATTATAAGAAAATGGCTGAAAAATTCAACAAAACTGCGATTAATTTCAGTTATGTAGAAAAGCTAGATATTTTGATGCAATCTTTTCAAGACAGATTTTCGGAGTTTAAAAAAGTGAAACCTCTGTTGGACATATTCAGCAATCCTTTCACGATTTCAGTTGAAAATGCGCCAGAGTCAATGCAGTTAGAAATTATCGACATTCAAAACGACCAAGATTTACGCAATAAATTCAACGAAGGAGACTTGCTGAACTTTTACCGCTGCATTGATAAAAATACGTACAAAGAGTTGCGCATAAACGCTCTGAAATGTGCCAGCTTATTTGGTTCTACCTATATATGTGAACAAACCTTTTCAATACTAAATAATAAAAAAACAAAAAATCGAAACCGCCTTGCAAATGAAAGTTTGGAAGCAGTTTTACGTGTTGCTACAAGTAAATTTGAGGCAAATATAAAAAAGATTGTAAGCACTATGCAGTGCCACGCTTCAAATTAATAAATTCTTTTTCAATTTTAATACATATTTATCAATTCTTTATTGTCTTTAATTACCTATACTTCTGGCGGCCCGCCATCAGTCCATAATTTGCCCGAGTGGCCCCTAGTCTTAATAAGTCTGTGCATCCCTGCTTTAGAGCAAGCATTTTGCCGTTTAACTTAGTTAAATTTAAGTTTGATAATTTGTGTATGACTAGCGACCCGTCCCGTCAAATTTTCACTACATTACTTGACGACATTTTATTGTATTATTCTAAACTGAATTACCAAATGAAATTTAAATATACAAGACAGTAGAATAATATTAAGTAATTATCGCACTCATAAGGGAGCAGAAATAATTTTAAAGCTGTCAAAGGCTTTTATGTGGTGGTGTCGTGGATCCAAAGACGATGTGTCGAGAGCAGGCGAGAATAACATCTTAGCTCTTTAAAATATGTCAAAATTGGCATGTTATGTCATTTATGTCAATGTCATTTATTGTTGCTACACTTGCTACCGCTTGCCAATGTTGGTTTCTGTTCCACGTGCTTTTATATAGATTTCTGAATGAATATTTTATTATTTGAAAGAAACTGATATCGATTGAATACCAGCATTGTTGTTGTGCCTTTAAATTTAAGCAGCAGCCTAGATATATTATCATGGGTAAGAAAAGGAAACTGACATCAAAAGATGATGAACACGAGTATGATCCTGTACCAAAACATTTAGTTACTTCACATATCAAAAAGCAAGAAAAGCGACTCATAGTTATTCTAGAAAATGCGCAATTAGAAACTGTCAAGGTAAGTTCTTTTTTTATGATATAGGAGGCTAGCAAGCAGATGGTCAAACATAAGTTTAATTGTCCTTAAATGTTTTCAATGCTTGCGAGCTAATGATCTTTTATTACTTTGCATAAAAGCTACATATAGCAATACTTTAAGGCAATTTTAAAGGCATTCAGCCCAAAATGAGTCTTAAGCGAAAAAATGTGTAGAATAGCAAAAATAATTTTTGGGTAATACAGTGATTGAATGTATAGTTTTTAAAAAGTTATGTATATAATATATAATAATGATTTGCATGTACATATTTATAATAGTAATATTAGTTACAGTACCTACTCACTATTTGGAATGATATGACTACTTGTTTGACTAAATCAAAGGAACTCCTTGTTGTCTTCATCACATCTTCTATAACATATTTAATCAAAAGCATTAAGTAGACAACATAGTCATTGAGTGAACAATATTTATGAAAATCTTGCAATATGGCCAGCTGTTCTTCTTAAAACACACACTTCACTGTTGAGCTACTAAGAACACTTGTATTAAATACATACATCACATCAACAACCTTCAATAGTCCAATGCTGGACATAGGCCTCTCCTTACAAGGGAGGTTTTGGCCTACTATATCACTCTGGCCAGACGGGTTGGTATAGGGTTTGTTTCAAGTTTTCCTTCTCTATGCAGTGCTGTTGTCCTGCGTAGTTGGCTCCCTTAATCGGCTCTTACGACACCCATGGGACGAATAGGGATGGTGACAGCCCATATTCTTAATCCGTCACCACACGGACACACTGAATATTATTCATATTTAGTATAAAATTTTACTTTTTATGACATGAAATTCATAGAAATGGGATTAATGCAAATTGGTGTAAAACTTGAAATTGTATCAAGCAGGTTTTATTGGATCTACGTCTTTACAAAGGAATAAATTTTCTCCCGTTTTTTTAACAACTTTCATTGATGGTCTACTCCCATAGGTGGTAACATGATGTTATATAGCCTATAACTTTCCTCGACAAATGGGTTATCCAACACAGTAGTTCCTGAGATTAGTGTGTTTGACCAAACAAACAAACTCTTTAGCTTTTTAATATTCCTTAGTATAGATTTAATCCAGTTATACATACAGTAACATATTTTTAAATTATTTATTTTTAATATGTTTTCAGAAAGGAAATAGTTTTGAACTATTAAACTGTGATGATCATGCTTTGATTCTACGAAAAAATGATAGAGACCCCGGTACTTGTCGGCCAGACATCACACATCAATCTTTACTTATGTTGATGGACTCTCCTCTGAACCGAGCAGGACTTTTGCAAGTATACATTCATACGGAAAAAAATGTCCTCATAGAAATTAATCCTCAAACAAGAATACCAAGAACATATAAAAGATTTGCTGGATTAATGGGTAAGCGATTAAAAGTTAAAATTTTTCTTCTTAACTTCACATTTATTCTGGTAGTAATGGGAGACTCAACCTAACTTAACAAACACAGGCTACTGATAATCTATTGGGATGGTGGGCTCTGGGTACTGCATTTAGACTCTAGAACGGTCCTTTATGATTGGCTAGGTGAGCTAGGTGAGAAGCCTCCTGGAGCATTCACCTATGCAGCCGGAATACTGCCATTTCTTCTGCTTTGAGACATCCTCTGCAAAGAGGACAATCTGTCACCTTGATGATAACCCATACAAATCCCTATATTTTAAATAGATTATGCATACACATTCTGTTCAATTGTTAATATTTATTTTAATGATTTTTCAGTTCAGCTTCTTCACAAGTTCGCAATAAGAGCATCAGATGGCCCAATGAAACTGTTAAAAGTAATAAAAAACCCAGTCACTTCACACTTACCAGTTGGTGCAAGAAAAGTGACAATGTCATTTAGTTCTAAAGTTGTGAAGAACTGTAGAGAGTTAGTGCCAAAAGATGAACCAATTGTTATAATCATTGGTGCTATGGCACATGGCAAAGTGGAAGTAGATTATTCAGAAGATGTAATATCAATTAGTAACTATCCATTGTCAGCTGCACTAACTTGTGCTAAATTATGTACTGCTTTTGAAGAAGTTTGGGAGATTTTGTAAATAAAAATAATACTTTTATCAACTCTCTTTTTGTTAAAAATGTAAATGAAATCACTTGGTTATGAATCTTCAGTTCTTGACCACAAATTGGATTTATCAAAAAATCAACTAATTATATTTGTCTACTATCAGAAGTAAACAAATAATACAAATAAAAAATTTAGAACACCCCAACCCCAGCATCAACCGAAGGTTTGGCTGCAGCATCAGGTCAAGGTTACCATATCAAAACAAACATGGGAAGACAGGTAGGAAAAAACACCAGACAATACAGACTGGGACACAGCCAGCAAATTTGTAAACGATAATAAACTTAAATGCGCAATTAACTGCTTCCTCCCATTCAAGACACCAGTACTAGATGGTATCTTCTCAGACCTGCTGAGATCCAGAAGTGTACCTGACACGTCTGGATCACCTTGTGAAAATTTACAGAGGTTGCTTGGTACACCATTACATTCCCTTGAAATGGAGAGAAGTTAAAGTAGTCTTTATCCCCAAACCTGGCAAAGGCGACTACACACAACCCAAATCACACGGACCTATCAGCTCACGTCTTTCTTATTAAAGGTTCTTGAGAGGCTAATAGGAAAATTAGGAGCACTGCGTTAGTCAACCCCATAACCAACACGAATACTCGAAGGGAAAATCAACAGAATCCGCGTTGCATCAATTGTATCACATATAGAAGGTAATCTAAAACACTAGGCACCTTTATCGATATCGAAGGTGCCTCTGACAAAACCAATTTCACCAGCAATAGCCAAGCTCTATCTAGACATGGCGTTGATTCCACAATCTCAGAGTGGATCGACAGCATGCTAAGATATAGAGCTATTCAATTTACCGTGAGCAAAGTGACTAGGGGGGTGGTGGCTAGAGGATGCCCGTAGGGCGGTGTACTCTCCCCCCTTTAATGGAACATTGTTGTGGATGAACTAATCACACACCTCAATGACCACAGTTTCCTTTCAATAGGCTATGCAGACGATCTCCGTACCTACCTAGATTTTACGTAGGTTTTTGCGAAAATTTGTGAGTACCAAAATTTATCTTAATTTTTAAACTTTTTTTCAATTTTTTGGAATTATTCCTTTATTTCTGCTGTAAGACGTTTCTTTTTGCCAAATTTCGTGATTCGTGATTCGGGAACTACCATAAAGGTTTTCGACCCAAAACCTATAGGGTAGTTCCGGTTGACCTAGAATTGTCAATTTATAGAAATTTTTCGTTACAACTTAATGTCACTTTGCTTATATTTTTTTAGATGCTATTGTTTTCTCAAAAAAAATAATAAACAGGATGATGATTGACGACATCATTAAGTTCTTTTTCATCTATATCTAGAGCAGAGATGCACGCATGCGGCCCGCCGGTCGAATACTGGTGGCCCGCCGACAGCAAAAATAATACTCTCGTACATTCGAAAAATATTAAATTCTATTCCAGAATATAACCAAAAAAATCGGTTGTCTGTAAAGTCTGTTTACTGACGATAGTTGAACGTGACAACGTCATAAGAAAATACTGATGGAATGGTTGCATTTTACGAAAACATGTAAATGTATTATTGTATAGCAGCTGTCCACGCGGACGCATCGCTCACTCAAGTAGGAAAGAGACAGATGTCAAACGCTGCCGAAGGCCGATTGTGCCTCTTTGTCGCTCGTTCCGCGCTCTCGCTTGCACTTCAAGCCTTAAATGGAACGCCTCAGAGCGAGGTAACGCCGCATGAGTCATGTTTTTTCGAGCGTGCAGCCGGCTCCATCGAATTATAAGACGTTGTCACGTCAAAAAATATGTTCGAAAAGTAATTTGAATCTCGCGCGCGCGCTCTTAAGTGCGCTTATCGGTGCGCCGTGCATGCGTCGGTAACAGCGGTCGGTAATGTTCTTGCTCGGTTAAATTCGTTTTCTTGAGGCAGATTGTAGATTTGTAGATTTTAACTCGACTAGCCGGTGTCATATATTTTGATCCACATTCAACGTAGATTTCCCGTCAAGTGCCGTGTATAATTGTGTTGTAAAATCGTAAGTAAAACTCTGTTATTAATAAGTGTTTCCCTACCTATTTAATCAATTATTTTTGGTAATTTAAAAAAGGATGGGTAATTTAAGTAGGTACTGTAATTGTTTTTAGGTGCTGTGTTAATCCTAGCCAGGTTTAGAACGCAACACTGTCAAGCCAGGACCTAGTAAAAAACGTAAGGTTAAAGATGAAAATCGGCAGTTTCAAGAAATTTGGACTGAGAAATATAAGATTCAAGATTCAGAAACAGCTACAGAAGTTAGTTATGAAATTTCTCGAATGATAGCAAAGCGAAGTCGCCCCTTCAATGATAGGGATTTTGTAAAAGAATGCATAGAAATTGCAGCTAAGAAAATGTGCCCAGAAGCAGCAAAAAAATTTGAGAAAATTCAACTGAATCGTATGACTATCCAAAGACGAATTATATCTTTGTCAGGTAATATTGCGGAACAATTAAATGACTAAGATCATTGAATTTTTTTCATTAGCACTCGACGAATCCACTGATATTAGTTCCACAGCTCAACTTCTCATATTCATACGAGGTGTTACTTAAGATTTTGAAGTCTTAGAAGAGTTATTAGGAATGTGTTCATTGAAAGGTCAAACCAGAGGAATTGATATACTCAATGTACTTTTGGATGAGTGTTCAAAAACTAATTTGGACTTATCAGAATTATCGGGAGTTGCGACTGACGGTGCTCCTTCGATGATTGGTGTCAATTCTGGGCTAGTTACTTTGCTGAAAAAGCATCTGCAAGAAAAAACATAAACGCTGAAGATCTCATGCAGTTTCACTGCATTATACACCAAGAAGCCCTCTGTTCTAAAAAAATTGAATTTCAAAATGTCATGAAAGTGGTAGTTTCGACTGTAAATTTCATAAAATCACGAGGACTCAATCACAGGCAATTCAAACAATTCCTTGATGACATCGAAAGCGAATATTTACTGTATTATACAGAAGCAAGGTGGCTAAGTCGTGGATTGACACTGGAAGGATATCTAAATTTAATAGAAGAAATTGGAATATTTCTGGCGGAAAAGCAAAGGGATGTCCCGGAACTTAAAAATCCTGATTGGTTGTGTGATTTGGCTTTTTTAGTTGACATTACAAATCATTTCAATGTCTTGAACACACGGCTTCAAGGCAAAAATCAACTGATATCCCAGCTCTACGCTCATGTATCATCCTTTCAATGCAAGCTGACACTTTTTAGATCGCAATTGAATTCTAGAAATTACAATCATTTTCCGAATTATAAGAAAATGGCTGAAAAATTCAGCAAACTGCGATTAATTTCAGTTATGTAGAAAAGCTAGATATTTTGATGCAATCTTTTCAAGACAGATTTTCGGAGTTTAAAAAAGTGAAACCTCTGTTGGACATAATCAGCAATCCTTTCACGATTTCAGTTCAAAATGCGCCAGAGTCAATGCAGTTAGAAATTATCGACATTCAAAACGACCAAGATTTACGCAATAAATTCAACGAAGGAGACTTGCTGAACTTTTACCGCTGCATTGATAAAAATACGTACAAAGAGTTGCGCATAAACGCTCTGAAATGTGCCAGCTTATTTGGTTCTACCTATATATGTGAACAAACCTTTTCAATACTAAATAATAAAAAAACAAAAAATCGAAACCGCCTTGCAAATGAAAGTTTGGAAGCAGTTTTACGTGTTGCTACAAGTAAATTTGAGCCAAATATAAAAAAGATTGTAAGCACTATGCAGTGCCACGCTTCAAATTAATAAATTCTTTTTCAATTTTAATACATATTTATCAATTCTTTATTGTCTTTAATTACCTATACTTCTGGCGGCCCGTCATCAGTTCATAATTTGCCCGAGTGGCCCCTAGTCTTAATAAGTCTGTGCATCCCTGATCTAGAGCTTCTATAGCATCGGAGTAGGATTCTTTTCCCGGATAGTGTTGACTCATACAGGTGACATACAGAGGGAAAGCTCTAACAGTGAGCTAGAAAACATCCCACTCCTTGTTGTTTCACCCGCTAAAAAGAAGTGTAAAGGTGTAATAATGTGATATAATATAAATAAATAATAGGAATAAATACTAAGGAGCTGCGTAATTCAGGAAAATAATGCGTTACACGAAGATGGATTTGGATTTTTTTTTGTAACCCTTAGTATTGTTTGCGTTAGTAACTTTATTATAAGCAAGATTTAGATTTTGTATCCGAACTAAACTTTTCTCATTTTTGTTTAGTGAGAATTCCTTAAAGTATTTTTGTAGTAAGAGTATACATTTTCTGCCGTTAAGTTACGTAAAACATATTTTGGCAATAATAAAATAGTTTTTTTTTACTTTAATTTTCTATTAAAGTAAGTATTAAATGTCACTAAGATGAAAACCGTGTGGTGACGGATTAAGAATACAGAGTGTCACCACCCCTATTCATCCCGTGGGTGTCGTAAGAGCCGACTAAGGGAAAAAACTACGCAGAACAACAGCACTGCAGAGAGAAGGAAAACTTGACACAAACCCTATACCAACCCGTCTGGCCAGCGTGGTATAGTAGGCCAAAACCTCCTTTCTAAGGAGAGGCTTATGTCCAGCAGTGGACTATTAAAGGCTGTTGATGATAATGATGAAGATGAAAAGTAAACTAAAATGAAAGGAAAAGTGACACTTTGAAATAAATAACAATATAAATAATATAAATTAATTTTGAGAAGAAAAGTGCTTAATGAGGAGACAATATTTATCCATAATTTCTATGTCAAAGAGTAATTAAATTACGCGTGGATTCTCGCGTATTAATTATATTCACACAGGAAAAGTGTTTTTTGACTCTCCTGAAAAGGTGCATTTTTGAAGAGTATCAGTATTAGATTAAGGGTGCGATATGTCAAATGATGTTTATTTCTGTAAGTAAATCTTTTCAGATACTGTGGCACAATTGTGAGAGCTGTTAGCACTAAAGTTTGACCTTAAGCACTGACGCCTGCCGTTCGTCAACTTAGCTAAAATGGCCGAGTTTTACTGGCCTCACTTTTCGTGCGTGTTCTCGGTTTCTATGCGTTATAATTCTAAGGTTCTAAGAAATTATCGTTTCGTACAAAGCTTTGACTTTATTATTTAAGGTGCCGAATTTTCGGACACTGACATCTATTAAACTTTAGTAACATTGAAAAAGTGTTACTTTTCTTCTAAACTACTGGAGGGCACTTCGACAAAAAAAAACAATTTTCAAATTTGATAATAAAACACGGCCATCAATTCTATTTTGTTCGATTATTTTCATAGACTTTAGATGTGATAAATAGAATTACGAGTCTCAATTTGGGGTTATTTTTTTAATATGTCTCAACTGCTCTTTCCTCGTGTTTTACTCCTTTTAGATACACCGCTTGTTAAATACAGTTCGAGATGGCGTCTCTCGCGATAATATGGCCAACTAAATAATACAAAGTGTGCAACTTTATTAAATAGGGGGGTATTGCTATCTACTATACTTCACTTTACTCTCTATATATTTTCCTGGTAGGTACGTCGTATATGCCTCAAGATTCAAGAGTTCAAAAATACCAATGAAGCTTAATTTTTAGCACTCCACTAGCTGACTGTATTCAAGCTTCGAATATTTTTGAATTCAATTATATCAATCTAGAGATTAACAGTCAGTGTCAGTCAGAATTTTTTTTTAAATCTTACTTAAAATTGATTTGAAGAAAATCAAAGTCCGTCCGTTACTTTATGAAGAATTATCGATCGAAACTTAAATGTTCGAGGATTTTTTTTAAGTCAAACAATGATGTAGTTTATTGAATTATTTACGAAATAAAAATTTAAACGATTATCGGTATTTTTCTACTTACAAGATGGATTACATTTTTACAGATATTCATGCTTATATGTCTGAGTCGTATACCTATATAGAGTCGTATACGTTCAGAGTTTTTTTTTTACACACAAACCGTCCATTACACAGTCAGATAAAAAAGAGTTTACTAGTTGTCTTGCTCTACAGAAATCTTAATAAGGCCTTCCTTTTTAAGAGTTCTGTGACTAGCTTCTACCAGGTGCTCAGAAGCCTCCTGGAACGTTAGATGATAGATAGATGGAAACCCCTTATTGACTACTATACTAAATTGAATATGGATATCGATCTATTCTGCAGTAGCACCAGAAATCTCAAAAATGTTGTCTTTAGATCCTAAATTGTTGTAACTATCCATGTATGTGTGAGTCTATTAAGTATGTATTATTATAGATACCAGCACTGTCTTCTTTCTACATGTGCAAGCTTCTAAATGGCATCTAGATAACTAACATCGTATGTATTTCGTAAATTTAGCCGTAAGTTCCACAAATATAATAAAATTAAATAAAATATCTAATCCTATGGCAATAGCATACCTTGTAAACTTGCAAATAAATGTCAACTTCCACTTACTTAAGCGGCTGTCAACAGATATTCACTGCAAAAAAATTAGCTTTAACGGTTTCCGTTAAATTTCAGAAGAAACTACGCCGTCTTTTGGGATTTACTAATTAACTAATCAGTCCCTTAATGCATTGTATGTTTATCAGAGCGGAACGTTGACATTCATTATGTTGTAACTATTTGTCGAAACATGTATAACTTACAGTATTTACTAAGATTATTAATAAAATATACAGTCATTTTTAAATAAAATCATAGCTTCACATTAAATAATTATTACTTTACCTCGTAAACTGAGCATTATTTGCCATTATAGAGGCGAAGAGGTTAATTTGATTTTTTCTCTTATCATTAATCTTTTTTTTTGTTCTTAGTGAACTTTATCTATAACTATTTTAATGGAATGCGAGGGCGGAGCGGAAGGCGCGAGGGATCTATGGAATGCGCCTAAGATGTGTTTTGTTTTCACGTAGTTAATAAAAGTATTACATTATTATCTATTAGGTTTAACGAGCTTTATTCTCATAAGAACTTATAAGTTGACTTACAATGAGATACAAAGAAGAAATAAGAATACAAGAAAAATAAGTTAGGTACTCGCTGTAATTGCTTTAAAATTAATTATAGACTTGAACTAAACTCTCAACTAAACATACGTTACTTATGTATAATTTATTTTGCTAAACATATTAATGATGCAATTATTTAGTTTGCAGAGCAAAGGGTTTGTAAGAGCAGAGTTTGTCATTACAGTGCTTTGATCCCATCTGGTCATGGAAGAATGTAAAGCATTTGGACTCTTTGTGTATACCTATATTTAAGGCTGAAATGACTTTTATTAACATACCTACCTTGTTAGGAATAAGGAATGTAAGAAATCCGTTTAACTATTATGCCTCAGAGCGGTTGTGCATGCAACCAACTTAGCTTAACAACATCCAGATTCCAAAGGGTTCACTATGTCTAGGGTAGTGTTTAATTTTCTAACAATCATGAAGAAAGTAAGTATAACTTTACTGTAGATTTTTATATTTATAACTAAATGTAACGATTCTCGTTATATTGTAGTATTGTAGGTATAGTTTAGTATCAATTGCATTGTTTTTCCTTATTAGTGTAAGTGTAATTACTTGCGCGTAGCCCTTTGTAGGGAATCAGGAGGAGAAAAACAGCTACACACCAGGACCTTAATCCTGCTATTGTATGTTAACGTACATGCCACTATCATTCCATTGTTACGATATTGAGATGCCATTGATATCGGTTAAAATGTCGGTATTCTACTAACATAAATTCACAGTGTCAATAGTCTGTCGATGAACTCTAGGATGTGTGTAATAGGCAATGGCTCATCAATAGTGATATTAACAACATAGTAGAATACTGTTACGCACGGGGTATTTAATAAATAAAAGTTGTCGGTTAATTACTAAAATTGCACTGTATTGTGCCAATCGATCAATTTGAACTATCTTTGGGGCGCTTCTTGGAAATTTCTGTATCCGGTAGATGACATCATTGATTTTCGCAACCACTTGGTATGGTCCATCCATGGTCCATTTGGCTTATAGCTTCGGAGATCTCCGTTTACTGCAAACTGGATTATGTAGCCACACTAGCAAACTTTCCGATCATTACGTGTTTTAATCTTCTCAGACATTTGTAGGCCTGATTGTCTGACATGCTCATAGATCTCATTCATCTTATTGCTCTGCGCGGGGCGCTGGGGGGTATTCCACCCATCAAGTCTACGGACAACCGTAGTTCTCTTCCGAAGTTTGCGAAAACTGGTATAACTGAAGTACTTTCGTAGACTGCATTTCGGGTTAACAGAAGAAACAGTTGGATGTGTTTGTCCCAATCTCTTTGTCTACTTGCCACAACTTTTGCCAGATACCTC